ACACAGGGCCTCCCTGGTGGCGCAGGGTTAAGTCTCAGTGCTATCCTGCTATTGCCAACTACTGCAGCTTCAGTGTGATCCCTGGCCAGGGAGGTGACTCATGTAACTCAGCAGACAGACCTCTCCTATCTCACCGTCTGCTCTCCTCAGCAGTGTATTTCAGTACATCTGCATGTTCTGCTCCCACTCTTGTCTATGGTGAATCTTTTTACCCCCTGAACCTCTGGTCTATACCCTAGTTCTTGTATGTATAAATAAATAAATCTCTAAAGGAAAAAAAAAAAGAAAAAAAGAGAAGGTGCTATACACACACAATGGAATACTCAGTACTAAAAGAGATGAACACTTTTCTTGTGATTTGCAACATGGATAGACCTGTAGGAGATATTGATAAGGAAATAAAACAGGAGAAAGACAAATACCAGAAGTTTCATTCACATGTGGAATATAGATAAACAAAACAAAGGGTCAGACCAAACCAAACCACAAAGACACCCTAAAAATATGATTATAGGCCCTCCCTGGTGGCGCAGCGGGTTAAAGCACAGCACTAAGAATCTGAAGCCACTTCCGCATGAGTTCGATTCCCGCCTGCCGCCTGCCCCGGAGGAGACCACATGGCGAGCCAGACCTCTCCTGACCCGCCCGCTGCTTCCCTCAGCAGTGTACTTCATCGATCTGCCTGTTCTGCTCCCCACTCTGTCTCTGGTGAAGCCTCTCACCGCCCCTGAGCCTCTGGCCTGTACCCCAGTTCTGTATGAATAAATAAATAAATCTTAAAAAAAAATATATGATTATAAAATTGAAAATACCAGAAGGGAAGAGGTAAGGTGGAGAAGAAAGGGAGGGGGTGTCCCAGTGGGTTATGGATTAGGATTATGGGTGGTATGGTAGTATACATCTGAGTGTGAACCTATGTCTCTGCATCATATAGTGCTCTAAACCAATATTACCCAATATTACCTCAAAAAAAAAAAAAAGACAAGCACTCAATATTTAACTGAATGAACAAGTACATATCAAGTTATTTAAAATTAAAAAAAAAAAATCAAATACCAATTGCTTACTGACCAATCTGTTCAATATGATCTTTCCTGACTTTATACTAAGTAATTAACCTTTTATTTATTTGCAATTAAGTTAGCTAATTTAACAATGTTACATAGGTCCTCATATCATATTAGTAAGGGATATTCAACTCCATTTGTTAGGAATACCATATAAAAACTACATTATTGTCATTTATTTACTATCTTACAAACTTTGCTCATCAGATTTGGAATGTTATCATGAGATTTTACTTGTTCTCCTCCACCTAGCACATTGCATGATACATTTTAAAACACTGAAAAATGCACTTGTTCAAGGTTTAAAAATGTCAGTGTTCCAACCAAAAGATTATCTAAGGACTTACGTTGTTGACCACAGTGTAATCACAGGCCTCCCTGTTTTGTTCTTTATCAGAATCCAAGGGTTATCTAGGTATCAAAATGTTCATTTTCATTATAGTGACTTCAATTTTTTCTTTTGACTTTCCTTCAGAAAATACTGGAAGTCTCTACTTCTTTCACATTTTGAAAATAATATCTGAACTTTCTCATCATAAAGTATTTTCAAGCTGATAGACTCTAAGTGCTTTACTGAGACTGTTCATTTTGAGTTTAAAATATATAACAAGTTCCTTTCTGACACTTGAAGATTCTACAATTTTGCCTGTCTCTTTGAATTCATATTTTTATTCTACATCTCTGATAAAATATTTTCCCAGGAGCAATATATTTTTACCTTTGGAAATATTTCTTGATTACACAATCATGCTTCTCTAGGAAAATAAAGTGTATATTAAAAGTTTTAAATTTATTTTATATTCCATAATTAAATGAATCTAAAGATTAATTAATACATTATAGCACTTCAAAAACATTTATGTTTTGTCACTGACAAATGAAATTCTATTAGAAAAGCATCTCTTTATGATATGCATAAAGCTTTAAAAATCATTCCTAAATCTGGATAAATGTCATCTATAGCTATAAATAGATAGAGTTCAATAAAAAATCAAATTGTGTTTACTTTTAAATACATGAGTGTGGAAAATCTTATGCACATATATGCATACTGCATATATGTTTTATGAATATACATATGTATATGCACATGGATGACACTTTTATTATGGTAATGCTATTCAATAAAAAAAAATCTCCTGCCAACTAATTTTAAAATAACATAGGAAACCAGTAAGAAATGCAATGTTGATAATTTCTCAGCTAAATAATTGTCACCCCACTATTTCCCAAAAAATGTGTTTTCCAAAAATGCATTTTTCTATCCTAGGATTTGATCATTTTCTGAATTTCCTGGAAGTAATATATCTTTATCAGACTTTCTAAATAATCCATAGATATTTCTAATACCTCACTTATTAATAGTAGCTTTATAGCAATATATACTATAGGACTGACAAAATAGAAATGCTGTATTTTGTAATAAGTCTGACTATAATTATAACATATTAAATGTAATAAAATGCATTTCTTCCTTTAAGTGCATTTCATTAAAAACTTTTCATTCATGCTCACTTAATTTAGGGAAAGTGTTTGCCTTTTAATTAAAGGGCAAACCATCCTTTGACTCAAAACCTCTAACTAAATCACTTTCTGTAGTCTTTTTTTTGCATTTAGTTTTATGGGGGGCACATTTAGAATATTAAGAAAATGACAATTTTTTTACAACATACCTCAAAGATACAAAAGTAGATGAGAGAAGTAAAATGATGTAGAATTAATAAAATAAACTCACTCTTTTTTTTATGCTCTAGCTATATAAGCATAGTAGAGAATATAATTTTTTGAGTTGATGATTTCATGTTCTTCAGATAGTTCTCCAAGACTAGGATTTCTGAGTCATAAAGTATTACCATCCTCTGTTGTTTTCTTTTTTTTTTTTTAAGATTTATTTATTTATGCATACAGAATTGGGGGACAGGGCAGAGGTGGAGGGGTGGTGAGAGGATTCACAAGAGAGAGTGGGAAGCAGAACAGGCTGAATGATGAAGTGCACTGCCTAAGGGAACACAGTGGGCGGGTCAGGAGAGGTCTGCCGCGCCATGTGGTCACCTCTGGGGCTGAGCAGGCGGGGATCAAACTCATGCTGAAGTGGCTTTTAGTTTCTTAGTGCTGTGCTAACTGGGGTAGAGGCCAGAGATGCGAAGGGTGAGAGGATTCACCAGAGACAGCGTGAGGAGCAGAACAGACAGAGTAAGTACACTGCTGAGGGGAGCAGCAGGCAGGTCAGGAGAGGTCTGCCATGCCATGTGGTCACCTCTGGGGCAGGCGGGGATCGAACTCATGCGGAAGTGGCTTCAGCTTCTTAGTGCTGTGCTTTAACCCGCTGCGCCACCAGGGAGGGCCCCCATCCTCAATTTTTAAGGGACATCCAGATAGATTTTCAAAATGGCTTATACCAGTTTTCATTCTCATCAACAATGTAATTGGGTTTCCCTTTCCCCATCCCCACATCCTGTTTTTAATATATTCCATTCTCACAGGTAATTTACTGCATTTTTATGATTCTACCTGCATCTCCCTTATTGGAAGTGATAATGAACTATTTTTCCTATGTCCATTGGCTTACTGGATATCCATTTTGGTGAATTGTCTGTTCAGTTCTACTATCCATTTATTAACTGTACTTTTTAAAATTATTATATAGGTTTTTAATTATTATATAGAATATTAATCCATTGTCAGTTGAATAATGTGTATGTATTTTGTCCCATTTAGTAGAAGGCATTTTAAACCTACTAAATTTCCTTGATCTATGTAAACAATTTTTTTTAATTTGAGATAATCTCAATTGTTTATTTTTGCTTTTATTTCCCTTGCTATAGGGTTTGAGTCTAGCAAAAACATCTTATCTCTGATGTCATGAAATATATTGCCAATGCTTTCTTCTGGATATTTTATTACTGTAAGTCTCATATCTAAGTCTTTAATCCTTCTGGAATTTATGTATGCATATAGTTAGACTGTGAGCCAATCTCATTCTTTTAAATGTTTAGTATCCCACTTTGGGATACCAAAATGGATGCCCAATACTATTTAATGAAATTTGGTTTTCCTCATTGTTGTTTGTCTATATGCATTTTAACATTTGTATAATTCCACTGAGGGCTATCATTGGTATTTTGATAAGAATTACATTAAATTATTATGTTTTTTTGTAAAATATTCATTTTGACTATATTTATTCTCCCCATTTTATTTTCCCTTTCAGACATAATTCTATTCTATAAATTCTATAAAATTTTCTGTCCCCTAAGTCTCTTGCCCCAAAAGTATAACAACTTCTCTTAATTTTTAGTTTTTCAATCTTTTTTTATTTGTGACTATCCTATTTGGTCACTGCAGTTCTTATCTATTCCTACAAGCAATCCTCTATGCCATGTTCAAGCATGCCAAGAAAACTATACTTTTAGTATAATACATGCTACAGATTGACTGGGTGTGCCTGTGCCTATAAGGCTATTTTCCCCCAACTGTAGCAGTCACATATCCCAAATTAGCACCGAAAAATCTAAAATAAAACTGACAATAAAATAAAAAGTTTTAACATAAAAAAAGTAAACTAAGTCAACAGACTTGGTTATAGAGAAACAAAAGATGATGAACAGCCTTAGCTTCTAGGACATTTACAAGGCTACAGAAATTACCATTCATTTCTGCATTTCCAACTCATATACATCTGTGAATAGATGAATTGGCACATGTACTGAAGAGAGCATCAATTAAACAATCAACTGAAGAAATAGTGGGATAAATTTTATTGGAAAGAATCCAGCATTTCTTTTACCAAATACTTATCTTGATATAATCATTAAGTTAAATCCATGTTTAAAATAAACTAAGGCTACAACTAAAGCAAACTATGTTTGAGCCATGATGAATATCAACATTACCATGAGAAAAATACTTGTTTTAAAGATGAAAATAACAAACCTTTTTTTCTCAAGGGAGGCTCCTCTATTTCTCCTAAATCAAACAAAAACACTAAATTAGAAAAACATAACATAGTATAATACTGTTTCTCTATTTTCCCATTTTTCTGTGTTCATTACAAAAAAAAAGTTTTGACAATAGTATAGTAGTTCTTATTTTGTTTATCTAATTCCAGTTTTTAAGTATCAACTTGGTTTATGTACATATACTTGAGCCAGTTTCACTTTAATGAGTTCAATAAAATTGTGGCAGTGTTCCAAATTATGCATTAGAGTTTATGTATCATGTTCATTTCAGTTCTCTATTGTTCATCTTGACCTCTCACTGGGGCCCAAAAATACAAATTCAGACCAATAGAAAGGGCTAAAATAATAAAAGATTTCCTGGTAGTGAAATGTGAACATATGATCTCATGATTAAGGCTGGTACTGAAAATACCACCTAAAAGCAGAGTCATAATGCTTTGTTTTTGCCACATCCTTTTGATAGTGACATATATGTGGTTTGAGGTTGTCTTTTCCTTTTATTCATTAATATATATGACAGAACACATAAGTTAGATAACTGTAAAATAACTAAATATGACTTATGTGTATTAAACATTTGTCTGTATATTAGTCTTACTATTGCTGTTCTCTCCCCCACCCCACCCCCATTTTTTCTAAGGATAAAATTGAGACAAGAAGCATTTAAATGTGAGTTCACATTGTGGAATTGCAGTAGTGCATAATAAGGTCCTCGCCAATAAAATGCTGATCTAATGATACATTAGAGTATCTTTTATATCTCTGCCATAGCAGAGATACGCTTTAAGATGGAAGCCAAATATAAAGATTGATTTATTGAGTTTGGTGGCCTGTTGATATACTATTAGAAAAGCATTAATTTGGGTTTAGTCTAATCAAGGGCTCATTTATATTTGAACTTAAATGAACCACTTTTCTACATAACTGATATTACCCTAGAAGTTAGACGCGCCTCTATGCTGTTCGTACCTTTATCAGTGTCTTCATCGCCATCATCATCTTCTTCTTCATCACCCTCAGATGAGATAATGTCAGACAACAAAGAAAAGAAGCCATAGATCCAGTCTGTAGTCTCCTCCACAGCATCATGTACAAGTTTTAGAGGATCTGAGCCAATCTTGGAAATAGAACTTGCTAAAATAATTTAAAACAAAAGAAAAAAATATAATCAGTCCCAAAGAAACTGAGAAAGGCTTTTATCCTGATTTGTTCTTTTGACACAAATAGTATGTCAATTTCATGAATTTAAATACATTTTCTTTTGCTCAGGAATAGAATCTACATCTCATCATGGTTATGCATATTCATTTAATTAAAAAGAAAAGTTATAGAACACCTGTGATACCAAATTCTATAGGTTATCTTACTTTGAGAATTTTATAATCTAAATCTCCAATACAACAAAACCCTGGGAATGAAATTAAATAATTATACCCTGTCTTTAAATTACACTATGAACCCTAAATTCTGGATGTTCAATGATTTGGAAGAAATCATCACTGCCCCACATTGTACTGGAAAGCAGCAAGGAGAAAATGGCTATGGACATTTCAGCATCAAAGTTATATTGACTTAAATTACAGCAACTAAACTAAAGCTGCTAAATCCATTGAGTATGGTTCTGATATATCTGGAAAATCTTAAAGTGTCAAGTTAATGATCCTACCAACTAGATAACATTGGTTTATGCATTGAATTTTTTTAACTTTGACAAAATGAGCAGAATAGTTCTTTTTTTCACTGATTCCAAACACGGTAGTACCTGAAAACAAGTATTTTAATTTCTAAATTTAATAAATATAATTAGGAAAATTTGAATTCTATAGGTCTTGCTTAAAATATACTGATATATAAGCAATTTGTGAAATGAGAGACTAAGTACAAAATCAAACAAATATATAATTTAAGGATTTCCAAAATGCTGTTTTTTTTTCTAATTCTAATTATATAAAAATTGCCCTGAAGGGGCAAGGATAACCTTTAAGGTCTGATTGAAGAGTGATCTATCTTGAAATATGGACTATGCTGCTGCTAATTTTTCATCAACCTTTAAGGTCTGATTGAAGAGTGATCTATCTTGAAATATGGACTATGCTGCTGCTAATTTTTCATCAATCTAATTAAGTTTTAGTATTATGTTTTACTTAATTTCAAAATAATTTTAGCATTTTAGAGTTTCTTCTCCCTATGATATCTTTAAGAGACTAGAATTATACCAATGTATTATAATATCTAAAGGTTAAGTACTACAAAATTAGGCTTTTACTCTGATTGATATAGGAAGTCATTGAAAGATTTAAGCAGAGGAAAAAAGTGAGTTTACTTATGTAACTTCTTTTGCTATGCTGAGGATTGAAAGAATGCCAAGTTGGAAATAGGAAGAATAATAAGGAGGCGAACAAACTAATCCAAAAGAAATGCAATAGTAATTTTGATCATGATGAAGCACTACATATGGTGAGATGTGTTGATATTCTATATGCAGTTTAAAAAAGAGAATTAATAGTATGTAGACAAGGATCTAGTCTAATAGTATATAGACCATATTAGCAAATACTGCTGATTAATCAAGTCAGAAAACTGAGAATAATCTTTGGATTCAACAGTAGAAGTTTCAGGAAAGTGATTGCAAGACCAAATAAGAAGAATATAGAGGAGTTTATTTACTATTAATTAAATAAATGAGATTGAGCAATGCTTGAAAGAAGACTAATATCATAGCTCATTTTTTTAACATTGATAAAATAAGAAGAATAATCCTTCCTTTTTTTTTCACTAATTCCATAGAAAGGGGGACATGAAAGGAATATTTAGGGGAATACCTAACTTTAATTCAGAGAAATCAAGAAGCACAGAGCCAAGTCCCAAGGATACTAAGTTATAAGGTACTGGTCTCAGGAAAACATATTTTATGATTCAGTGATAATACCTGCTCTTTAAACCTTATTTTACTGAATTCTAGAGAATTTCATCTGAATGAGAAATTGTAACCTAATGGTGAGTTTAAACCTTACAGAAAAACTGAAATTGAATTTTAAATTGCAGTTGAAAAATTCAAAGTATTGTATGTAAGGAACTAGACTGTTATAGCACCATTAAAAGCATTTTTAGCACTAGTACATTTTATATCTAATGGAGGACTACTCTAAAATGGCTTTTTATAATCTGAATAGATTATGATTATTTCCTCCAATTTCTCTTCTTTCTAAGTGTTCAGTGAGGCACCTAGCAATAAAATCTAACAAAAATAGATCATTATTCATTATTCTGATGTTGATGTGTACAATATATACTCTGCAGACATGTATACAGCCTGGTTTTAAAGTAGTCAAATCAGACTTCTTCCATAAAGTCAATGTTGTTGGCTTGAGACAAGGTTCTAATTTTTAGTCATGTAAACAACTCTAATTACATTGGTTTAGACATAGCTTAAATAAAATAGTCTGCAAGATGACTCTCTCTTTTGCAGATATCATATCCAAATCATATCAAAAGTAATAATATTACCCAATGCAATGTCCTTTTATAAACCTTTTAGTGATGTCCTTTTTATAAAGGGATAATCGAATAATTGCACTTTCCTACCTCTCATGTTAAATTATATATATTGCAGTTAAGATCATCATAAAATGATAGTAGCTAACACTTACAGAGTATGTATTACCTGTAGGATTGTACCCTAAAAACTTTATGAATGTTTATTCTTGTGTTCATTCCAATAACCCAATAAGAATAAGAAAACTGAGGTACAGAGAATTTAAATAAAACACAAAAAAAGAAATTAAATGAATCACTTTCTCCCTAAAATAGTCCACAACTCAGCATTTTGCTTGACTATCAATTTTGAATTCTTTGCTATATTTGACTCTTTGTCTTTCATGTCCTGAGAAACATCAGTGGACAATAAGTTCAAGCATACAATCTAAGCCCAGACTAAGAACATTCAAATTCAGACCTCCTATCTTGTATATGCAAAACTATATTGGAGCCATGGACAAAAGGGAAAATCAGTATAATGATCCTGTCTTTTGTTTTTACTTTCTTTTGTGCTATCTTGATTTAGAAATTAAGATATTTTATTGTGGTCAGGCATGTGTGTATTGAATGTTTTATTTGTCTATTTCTTTTATAAGTTGGATAAAAAGTTGAATATATTCTTAGTGGACACACAGAAGAACAATGCTTACTTACAACAACCCCACTTGGAAGAATTTTATGAGTATTCATTTGTAAGTGTGCTCTCTCAAATACCTAGATCCTGAATCCTATGTCTCTGTTCAATTTAGACTCACCATCAAAATGGAAAGACATTTTAATACCTATTTTGGAAAACTTTTTTATCCCTGTTATGAGAATTTTTAACATCAAATAAAGATGCTCTATTTAAAAATTCAACATTTTATTCATCACAGATTTTTGCATTAGTATTGAAATTTTAAATGTTGCATAAAATATTCTTTTAATCACTAAGCTTTATACAGACTTTTTAAATTTTGTACCATCAGACAGTACTTATTCACCTTGCTCTAGTTCTCGTGTTTTCTCCACCTACTACTAGCTGTGCAGTGTAATAATCTTTGCTATGTTTATAAAATTTAGGCTTTTTCAAAGTGATTATTCTAATCAAGACCTCAACTCCTTATGCCTCTCATCCCTAAATTCAAACATCTCATGAACCAATTTATAATGTATCCAGTTCTGGAACAATTTATAGTATGGAAAAATGAAAACCAAAGAACTCTATGTTTCAGTTTGCTCAAATAAAATGACAAAAAGTAACAATACTTCACAAGTTTGCTGTGAGTATTGCATGAGATAATGCATTCAAATTATCACATAGTAGAATGCTTAGCCAATAATAAATCCCAATGCAGAGACAAGCAAGATTATCATTGAACTTGTCAAAAAAAGAGAGAACTGAGTGGTGGGTCACTCCCTTTGACTATCCACACCTCTGAGTCACCCCACAGGAAAGCAGGATGTCCCTTCATCTCTGATTCTCTGCTCACAAGAATTTGGCCATAACAGATGGCACTTACCGGTGACCATGCAAACTCATTGTATAGCCACTGTTTGGTATAAAGTGCCTAAGCAGAGTAAAGCATCTAGGAAGTGTTAGATAATTATAAATTCAACTTTCAGAATCATTTAGCACAATCATGTAACAGTGCTCCATAAATGTAGTCTGCTATAACTATCACTCTGCCATCACTTAGTCACTACATCCTTACATAGGGCTGGAAATGCAGCCTATTCCCTCGGGAATAATGGCCAACGTATCCTTGTCTGGGTACCTCCCAGAAAATATTCATGCCTAAGTATTTGGATTTCAATTGAGGTAAGCTTTTCAAGGGTCATAAATGCAACTGGATTAGGAAACATTCAACTTGTCTGCATATTGATGTATATAACTTGCACATAATATATAATACGAGGCTGACTAAAAAAAACAACAGAGAATATTTAGCACTTACAATGTATAATATTCTAACTTTACTTCCTTCTTGTCTTTTAGATTTCACATACAAGTGAGATCATTTATCTGTCTTTCTCTGTCCCACTTATTTCATAGGCATGATGTACTTTAAGTTCATGTTGTAGTAAACCAGATTGACTGAATAATAAGACAATACCTATAAAACATTTTCTATAAAACATTGTACTTGTCCATTCATTAACTGATGGACACTGAGGTTGTTTCCATATCCTAGCTATTGTAACTAAAGCTGCTATGTACATAGAGGTGCAGATATCTTTTCAAATTAGTAATTTTGTTGTCTTTGGAAATTCTCATTCCCAGCAATACAATGAAGTCATCCCTCTTTACTATATCTTACCAAAATTTGTTATTTCTTGTCTTTTTTTATAATAGTTATCCTAACTGGTAAGAAGTAATATCTCATTGTGATTTTGGTTTACACTGTTCTTGTTGATTGTATCAAGAATTAATAAACACTGTTGCATGTACCTATTAGTCATCTATATGTCTTATTTGGGAAAATGTCTATTCAGAGCCTCTGGCTATATTGTTTTTCCTTTTCTTATTGATTTTTATGACTTTTTATATATTTTGAGATTTTTAAACACTATATACACACTATATATATATTTGTGTGTATGTGTGTATACGTATA